ATACTGTATATCTAAAATTCTGGAATACTGCATTCCTCTTTGAGGATATATTCGATGAAAACAAGTAACACAGACCCAGACAGCAAAACTGTGGCCAGGCCCTGCCAAACTGTTGTTAAACGTGTTTACCAGTTTTTGTGATAGCGCTACCAACAAATCTGTTTTGTCAGTGTTAAGGTTCATCAAGATCCAGATAAAAGTTTTTGGTTGCCCCATTTTTTAATTTACTCAGTGAGATTTCCAGTATTAGTAATGTCCAAAATCTTACACATATCAATGCGTATTCTAGTATGCTTAGACTTTTTTACATAATTATGAGGAATGTGAAATCGAAACAGCTTTCTTAGCTACTTAAAGACGATTCGATCCCACTTCCATTTCACCTACCTACTTGCCTTTTTTTCTGTAAACTCTAGATTACACAAAAAATTTGAGAAAATTTGCTATTTTTCTTTTCTTTGAGAAACAAACGACTTTTAAGTATTGGTCGTCTAGAAATTTAAATCACCGTGAATATAAATGTACAAAAATATGCCACTTATAAATTAATGAGTTCTTTACGATTTCTTTTCTTTCGGATTACTCCGAACCGTTTATTTCTAAGATTGATAAAAAACTGATTTGAATAAAATCTTACATTAGTTCTTATAGTCTAACTTAATAATAAAATATGCAGCATCAACAGGAACTGTTGCTCGCGTAGTTTCCCACGAGAAATGCGATCGTCTGCGATGCACGTTGCATCTGCAACAGGTAGGGGCAATGATAGTAGCACCTGCATGCTATTTAGCATGAATTGAATTATATTGTCGACGCTGCAAGCTTAGCTTAATTAGGTATTTGTGACATTAAGTGTCACCGGCATTAACTCTTCCCTCTCTTAAATTCGGAACGCCCCCGTTTCGACCAGTTAATTGATTTATGATGTCATCAAATATTGTTTTTGATTTTACTCTTTCTCTGCATGATCGAACCATTAGAAATGTTGTTACTGCTATTACCAGAATTAATACAAGTAAAATAGTGAGCCACCAGTTTCGTTTTTGGAAACTTATTTCTTCACTTAGTGTTGAGATATGATTTGTATTTTCAATATGTATTCTGTGAAGATATGGCAAAGAAAGTTTCGTGTTATGTTCCAGGAACTTAATGTCGAGAAATTTCGGGGCATGAGGTTCGAGATCAGTCATGTTTTTTGTGACTTTGTATTTTGTGCCGTTTATGGTAATTTCATTTTTAAATGTTATCAGGAATGTGCCCGATATATTAAGTTTATGAACGTCTTCAACCGTAGTGGATGAAACATCGTTTAATATTATGGTACCTTCTTGTACCTGCTGAATTAATGGTAGATTATGTGATGATTCGGTGGAACATGCAGCTGTGTTATTATTTAATAACTGTGACAGGCAAGATGATGTTGCTGAGGTGCAGATGTTTGCTATAGAAGTATTTAAGCAATTTTGAATCGGTTGCATGATGCCATCACAATCCGCTGCCGCATCTATATCTAAACTTATTATAGAATTATTATGAATAACAGGATATATCTTAACATAGTTACAATATTTATTTATTCTAGGGATTTTTATTACATATAAAATGATTTCTTTATTTTGTAAAACTTTTACATTGGATACACTTAATATGGTATTTAAACTAAGTGGTACATTTTCAGCGTCAATCAGATCATTTATTTCAACGTTATCTAAGATAAGTGGATTAATCATATTATTTTTTGCCAAAACCGCGGAAAGAGCTAAATTATCTAAATGATTGATAACATAATTATTTCTATTTATGATATATTGTTTCAGAATGTCTTCATCTTTTGAGATAGAATTATCAGAATTTTTTGCTGTCTTTAAGTCGTTTATTCTGTCTGTAAGTTCGTTAATTTGGTTCTGTATTACAGAGTTGATGTTTGTCTGTCTATTATTATTTTCTATTAGCATATTCTGTTTGGTTGATAACAATTGGAAATCGTCATGATCTGGGGTTCCTGCTATGAATTTTAGCGCTGATCCAATAAAGTCGATCGATCTTGCAAATCGACGTGTGGTCCGCAATGTCTTTATGATTCGCTGAATATCCTGTGTTTGCTTTACCAGGATATCTTTACTGTAGACGTCGTGATCAAAAGAATTTGTGTTGTCCATAACCATTTCCTCATATTCTGATAAGTTGGTTGAGTGTACCAGGTAAAAATAATTTTCATATATTGCGGCGTTTCCATGTGTGACCGCTATGAAATGTGCTGGTGTGTAATCTATGATCCTTGATGTTGCAAGTTTGCAAAATAGTAGTAGCCTAATAAAAAAAAAACGAGAGAAAATAATTATCGCAGATTACTTTTATGAATTTTTCTGCCATTAATCAGGACAGTAGTGCCTAGATCTCGTTCGACAGTCCCTTCCTCAAAAATTTTATTAAACTTGTTACCTAATCGTTTATTTCTTTTTATAAAGACTACGTCTCCCGGTTTATAGGATGTACGATGTATATCCCTATTAGCTCTCCTTAGTAATTTTTCTTGAGATTCCATAATTTTCTCTTTAACTTTTGAAATTGTTTTACTATCTTTGGAGTCAAGCAAATCAACAGGCTTGGAATCTGTTACAGAATGTACGGTATTATTGTATTTAATAGTGGCTAGTAGTATGAGCTCGGTCATATCAGCTATTTGCTGCTGAGCCTTACAACATCTAGCAATTTCCAATAACGTTGAATGTAATCGTTCAACTTGACCGTTGCTTTCACTATGGAGAGTTGGTACGAAAAATTGCGTGATTTCAAAATGATCACGTAAAAAAGTGGATAATGCATTCGATTGGAATGCTTTTTCATTATCCGTAACGATAAGCCTGGTTTTTTTATATTTATTTAAAATTTGTAGCAGGCCTAATTTAATATCCGATGTTGTTCTTGACGCTATCGGTGTAACTATTGCGAATTTTGTCAGTTTGTCGATACTTGTTAAAAAGTACGACTTATTTGTTATTAAAATATCTATATGGAGTATTTCTCCGGGATAATTTGGTATTGGAGTTTCACCAATACCTGGATTTGGTGGTTTTCTTTGGTACTTATTTTCGTGGCAAATCCTACAGTTTGCGATGATAGTTTTGAGAATCGTTTTCATTTTTGGGAAGTAGTATTCTTCCGTTATTTGTTTATGATTTTCGTGGAGACATCTATGGGCTCTGTTGTGCTCTGTTGTTGCTGTCTCCATTTGATCCTCTCTATTGGTCAAATCGATGACAAGTTTCTCCGTGTGAATGAATTTAACACCTGGATATTCCTTCCTTAACAGATTTTGAATTGTTGCCAAAGTTGGTAGATCACAATGTAGACCATTTACTACATTTGGGTTTATTTTATCTTTGATTGTATTTAAAAGAAATTCTGTGTTTTTAAAATTTATTGTGTGGCGTACAAATTTTTTAAATAGGATTTTAGTGTTTTTATTATTTGAATTACAATGAGACAAAATTAGTTGATTTCTAAATTGGTTTACAGGGGTGTTTACTGTTTTAATTATAGCAGATGAAGATTCTTCACTGTGGACTGTATTTCCGTCTGAAGTCAAATTATTAATGTATTGTCTAGATAAGGCGTCTGCTACTTTGTTTTCCTTCCCTGGTTTATAGAAGAATTTTGGGGAAAATTCCTCTATAAATGCACGCCATCTTTTAATTTTTGAATTAGGATTCTTGTCCGATATTGAAAATGTGAGAGGTTGATGATCTGTAAAGATTTTCAGGTTTCCAACACCATATAAGTAGTGGCGTAACGCTTGTAAAGCCCAAACTATTGCTAGTAATTCGCGTTCGTTTGTAGCGTAGTTTTCTTCACACTTACTTAGGGTTCTAGAGACCATTGTTATTGGTCTACCCTCTTGAGACAATACTGCTCCTAAAGCTACTGATGATGCATCAGTGGTAAGCTCGAAGGCCTTATCGTAGTCTGGATGCTGTAGAAGTACATCTTCTGAAGCTAAAATTTGCTTTAATTTATTAAATGCTTTTACTGCATTCGCATTTAAATTTATTTTAGTATGTTTTGATTGTTTGGTTCCAATGTGACCATTTTCTCCTCTTAGGTATGCAGTCAGTGGCTTTGCTATTGCCGCGTAATCCCTTACAAATCTCCGATAATATCCGGATAGTCCTAGAAAGGCACGCAGTGATCTCAACGACTTTGGTTGTTTGTAGTTTAAAATTGCATTGACTTTACCCGGGCATGTTTTAATGCCATTAGCTGAGACAACAAATCCTAAAAACTCTACTTCGTTTTGAAGGAACTTAGATTTTTCAGTAGAAACGCGCATTCCCGCGTTTTTCAGTTTGGTTAAAATATTACTGACATGGTTAAGATGACTGACTTTGTCTAAGGAAAAGATGATTATATCATCCATATAAACATGGCATGTTTTTCCT